GTTCGACCTTGTCTTGCCTAATGTGAGCATAGGCAACACAACCAAATACTCTCAATTTGTCGAGATCTAGTGGATGTCCCGATCAAACTTCTTCAGGTGTATTCATATCTAACATAGTCAAAGTACATTTGTTAATCATATATGTTGATGTCGAAACAGCCTCAGCCCAAAACACCTTCTTTAACCCAACACTAGTTAACATGCATCTAACTCTCTCTAAAATATTTTTATTAAACATTTTAGCCAAACCATTTTATTATGGAGTACCTGCAGTAGTTTTGTGCCTTGCAATACCAGAGGCAACACAAAAGTTGTCGAAAGCCTCATTTCAAAATTCAAGGCCATTGTCGATTCTCATCTTCTTAACCTTTCTACCAGTTTGATTTTCGACCAGAGTCTTCCAACTTTTAAAATTCTCAAAACTTTCATCCTTAGTCTTCTAGATGAATACCCATAACTTTATGGAATAATCATCTACTATGGATAGAAAATACCTTGCTCCTGAATGTGATAGACACCTTACAGGCCCCCAAAGACCAGCATGGATGTAATTAAGGGATCCATGTGTTCTTTGTTTTCCTTTGTTGAACTTCACTCTGCAAGATTTTCCAAGTACACATGGTTCACAAAACTTCAGCTTTTCGACTTTGTCTCCACCAAGAAAATTTTGTTTTCCCAATTCCACCAGACCCCTTTCACTGACATGGCCCAATCTCATGTGCCAAATTTCTGTCTTTGACAAAGGTTTTATGGATGCAACATTTGTCGAACCACTTACAACTTCGGCCTCAAGGGTATACAAGCCTTATTTTTTCACTCCTCTAAAGACTTCCTTTGACTCCTTCATGACTTTTAGGGTACTCTTCTCTCATTTGAAAACATATCCTTTCTTGTCGAATTCACCAACAGAAATCAAATTTCTCTTCAACTCAGGTACATACCTGACTTCAGTCAACAACTTTATTGACTCATTATGGAGCTTAAATCTAACAGATCCAACACCTGTAATATTGCAAGCTTTATTGTTTCCCAACAATACAGACCCACCATCTTTATCACATAATTCCTCGAACAAGTCTTTGTATGGTGTGTGGATGTGCCAAGTGAACCCAAAATCCATAATCCATTCCTTCGACGAGTTGCTGCTCGAAACCACAAGAACATCAGATGAGTCAAAATCATATTGAACAATAGATGTGTTGCGATTATCCTTACCTCCATGATCTTTCAGGAGTTTAGGGCACACTTTTCTTGTATGACCGTCCTTCTTATTGTGATAACATCGATTACCAGATACTTCACCACTATAAGACTTCTACTGACTTTTACCCTTTTTCCTGTCGAACTTACCATCCTTTCAAAGGAGTTTTCCTTTAACAACCAAACCTTCACCAACCGTCGAAGGTTTATGCTTCTTTCATTCGTTCAAGTCCTTAGAATACAAGGCTGATTGAACTTCTTCAAAGGTCAGGGACTCCCTTCCATACAAGAGAGTTTCTTTGAAGTGAGCATGTGTTATGGGCAAAGCGCACAACAGCAACAATGCTTGATCTTCATCATCGATCTTCACATCAATATTTTCAAGATTAAGAATCAGCTTGTTGAACATATTCAACTGCCCAGCCAACTTTTGTCTCCAATCATCTTGAATGAATACAAAGCTTGCTTCAGGTAGAGTCGATTAACCAGCTATTTGGTCATGTACAAACTTTCAAGTTTCACCCATAACCCTGCCGTAGTTGTCTCCTTTGATACCTGTCGAAGAACCTTATCACCAAGGCTAAACAAGATTGCAATGTGGCCTTTCTTTATCATCGTTGTCTTTCCAGCTACCGTTAATACAATGTTCATGGCTTCCTCTCCCTTCAACGCTTCCAAACAACCCTACTAAACCAGTAGGGCTTTCATCTTCAAGCGCCACAGACCAAAATCGTTCAATACGGTGAACTTTTCAATCTCATACTTTGTTTAAGGTACCTTCTCCATGTTCACTGCACCAATTTGTTATGAAAAATAATGCCTTGGAAACAAAGTATAAATTTGTTTCTTTATGATCAAGAAACATTAGGGTATAAAATATGGAAAAACAAGAAGAACACATGGAATGGTTATTAACTACTATTCTTTACTTTCTCTTTAAACAAAATTACAAGTACACAAGAATAACAAATAACCATCTCATCCTAAATTGAGATTTGCAGTATGCAATGATGAGAGACTAGTATGTTATTTATAATAAACCTAACATACTAAACTAATGAGTTGTTTCACAAATATCCATTACAAGCTAACTTAGGGTACAAGCTAACTTAAACAATTGAACATAACAAACATGTTTAATTCGATGCTAACAATCCTAGAATTCTTCGACATATACACACTAGAACATATTTCGACTATAACATGTAATTCTTCGACAACAGCATGTGAGCAATCTTCGACGATATTCTAAACTTTGTCGAACTATCGAAACTAAGAAGCTACCTTCGACCAACTAGAGTTCGATTCTAATATCTCACACCAAATGTAACAGGTGCTAGGTGGTTTGTTACTTTTATAGAAGATTGTACTTGGGTTACTTGGGTGTTTTTACTCCAAAACAAGTCTGATGTCAGTACTATTTTCCCAAAGTTTTTCTACATGATTAAAAATCAATTTGGAGTAAACATAAAAGGCTTAGGTATGATAATGGGAAAGAGTACTTCAATCATGTTCTTACTTATTTCTGTCAAACAGAGGGAATTGTCCACGAGTCTTCTTGTGTTAAAACACCACAACAAAATGGAATCGCAGAAAGAAAAAATGGGCATTTGTTACACCAAACCCAAGCACTGTTGTTTCATCAAAATGTTCCAAAATATTTATGGTGGGAGGTTGTTCTCACTAGCACATATCTTATTAATCAATTACCCTCTAGAGTATTAGGGTTCAAGAGTCATATGGATATTCTTTCTTCATTTTATCCAAATTTTTCAGTAAGTAGTAATCTTAAACCTAGAATCTTTGGGTGTGTCTCATATGTCCATGTGCATAGTCAAGACAGGAAAAAAAACTCAGCCCTAGAGCCCTAAGATGTATTTTTGTCGGATATTCCTCTACTCAAAAGGGATATAAGTGTTTCCATCCTCCATCTAAAAAGTTTTTTGAGACGAGGAATGTTACCTGAAGGGACCGTACTTCACTCAATCTTATCTTCAGGGGGTGAGTTTAAGGAAGATAAGCTTGAAAGTCTCGATCTTTCTGGTCTTGAGTCAAATACAGTCAATCTGTCTAGTATTAAGTCAAATACATCTGGTCATTCTGGCCATGACTCAAATACACTCAATCTCTCTGGTCTCGAGTCAAATCCACATAATTCTTCTTGTGTCGAGTTAAATAGACCTAATCTTTATGTCTTTGAGTTCAAGTCATATTTCAAGCGTAAAATCCATCCAAAGAAGACTTTCGGCAATATCAGAATCAATGGAATTAGTAATCCAAGCCATAACCATATAATTGCAACGGTCCCAAGCAAGAAGATTTGTTGTTAGGGTTTTAGAACGAATTAGGGTTCCATCGATGAACCCTAGTTTATTCTTAGAACGAAGAGCCAGTTCCATAGATCGCGACCAAACATGATAGTTGGTGTTATTGAGGGGAGGAGAAATGATGGCAAGGTCAGGGTTATCACTAGGATGCATGAAATACATATTTGTCATCCCCTGTTGGTAACTACGAACATTATTTGGAGTATTAGTGGAGTCAATTTTGGGGAGGGCGTCGAGGATCAGAAGTTTCGTCATCATAATTAGCCATGGAGGAAAGGTAGTAGAACGAAGAAGAAAAATGTTGAGGAAAGAAAAATTCAAGAAAAAACGATGGAGAGCAAACAGATGAATCTTGGTCAGAATTTTTGAAATCTTGATTTAGGTGTCAAGAGAAAGAAAATAAGAAAAAAAGAAAGATCAAAAAAATGATAAAGAATAAGGATAAGGAAGAAATTAGAGGTTTTTGTGGTCCAATAAGGGAATGACACGGGGAGGATAATAAAGGATAGTGGGGAGCAAAATCTAAAAAGTCAAAAAAATTGATGTAGATAGTACAAAAGTCACATGAATTGAAGATAATGGTGTGACCAAGAAAAAAAAAATATGGAAGGAAGAAGGCCAATAAAAAAAGAGATTGGTGGAAGAGTTTTGAAATATCAGAGTAATTGTTCCTGTTACCATGTTAAAGAAATGGATTGAATTCTCTCATTGAAAGAAATGAAAAGAAAACTGATACCTTTCATTAATTGAAAAAGTAAAACATACAACTTTTTTTATTATCAACCTAATAAACCCTTTATATATAGGGTGAGAGCATAAACTAACATTTCTAATTATGCTCAACAAACTAACAGAAAAAACAAAAACAAAAAAATATAACAAAACTATCCTAAAAATAAAAAAGGAAAAAAAATATATAACAAAACTATTCTAAAAATAAAAAAGGAAAATTAAATTATCTATGTTAAGAGGGACTAAAATCCTAAAAAAAAACTTAAAATTAAAAATCCGAATTTTAAAGTGAGAGCACTGATACTAAAAAAAAAACTAAAAAAAAACCCAAAATTACAACTGAAATAGAAGACAACTGAAATTATTACTTGCATCACTCTATATTCAAAAGTCAAAACACTTTTCCCTAAGCATTGACTTTTTAAAAATGAATAGATTTTTTAATATACTCTTATTATTTTTCTTAACTTTTACTCCAAGGCTATAAGTTTTCGCTAATCACCTTTTATTTAAGTGTTTGTAGTGTAATGTGATTGATGATCTAGCTAAAATTGAAAATGTCACAGATTAAATAGTATTTTTTAATAACTAAATGGACATAATTTATAAGGATTACAATGAAAGGTAGATAACTATTGCTACAAATGATAGTATAAGTATTTTTCTCTACAGCCGCCATTAACAAAGTCAGTACATTCTTGCTGCCTTTGAATAGAACTTATACCGCACTTCTTGAAACATCTATTGTACAATTTCAAACACGGTTACTGCAGCAAAAACGAGAAAGAGAACACCTCCAATGTAGGCAATAACCTTCAAAAGAAATGAAAATACTGTTTATAGTTCATAGCTCCATGAGATATTCCAAACAGACACACCAAAATACATCAAACACAAGGCACTATCAAGTATTATCTACATTCTACAGAATGTAAAGTGTGGTCACCGTTCAGCAGAGCTTTAAAACATGCATATGGTCATGATAAATAGCACATAACAACCTTTTAAACATGTTGCGGCTATTCATAGATGCCACACATATTTTATACTGAAATTCCAATGCTGAAATTCCAATGCTGAAAATTTCTCTGACCTATATTCCATAGGCAGCTTCAATTCAAGAAAATAATTTGGTAGAACACAATCTCAACCTCTACTACATGGTCTAAAATCTCACATTTGGTTACTTTAGTCAATGAATCTACTTGATATGAAAGCATGCATCTATAGTTGCCAACTTATGAACTCTTGGTTCATTTTTTAAATGGAGAAAATCAAGAAGTTGGAACTAACAAACTACAGCATATCAGCAGTGAAGACTACAAGTCAGAAGTTACCTTCTCCGACAAAAATGTCCCCAGTAAAGTGCCACCAAGTACGGCTATCTGTATATACAAGATAGGAGAATATAAAAAATCCCAAAGTTTTTTACAGATATGCCATAAGAAATGGTGGGAGGGATATCTCAACTAGCTTGTAACAATTGAGCAAAAGGTTAAAAAGAGTTGAAGGTCCAGAATTCAAGTCTTAGTAAGAGTGTAATATACAATCAATTTGCAATATAAAAAAAAAGATATGGGATAAGAAAGAAAAGGACAGTTGAATCAAGGAATATAAATTATAAGTATCAAATTTTACATGATAGTTAAGGTTATTCACATATAGATTTCTTTTCATCTTACCAAATATAGGTCATTAGGAAAAAAAATTAGCTCAGCAGAACTCCTAAAGCAGTTTCAAAACTAAAATGTTTTAGAATGTTTATAAAGCACTTGGAATATTTTTTTTTGCACTTTAGCTGATCACTTTGGAAAATCCAAATTGTACTTGCTGTTCCAGAAGGGTAATTAAATACCACTGTGTTAATTTTAAAGAATGCATTTATTGTAACTTTCAAAGAGCTGCATCAATTCATTGCTGAAAAGGGAGTTACCAAAGTTGCAACACCATGACCGGCCAGTGATCCAGCTATGACTCCCAGGGGTGAAGAAGCTGCTGCAAGGGCTAAACAGTAAGAGGAAAAAATAGTTCAGAATCATTGAAGGAGTTAAAGTGAAGGACAAAAATCAGCATAGCATGTCTTGCAATTTGAGACAAATTAAAAATTCAACAAGTTAATGATAAACTAATACTGTACAATTCCAAATTAACTGACATCATAACCAGGTATCCGAGTAAGTTTTTGTTAATAGCAATACATTTAATTTAATTATTTATATATTAGTTGGTTTAATGGGGATTTCAGTGCAAGATGTTTTTATGGTTGAGAAAAATTACTTTTGTTAAGTAAGAGTGGCCCCATATATAATAGTTTTATGAACCTACAATTCTAACTTTAGTAGCACTCACCAATTGTAGAGAAAAATGATTTATCACCCCACTCAGCAACAAATACTAAGAGAAAAGTGCTGGCAATTGTGCTAGCAGCAGCTACTATCCCAGCACCATTTCCAGAAAATTCAGAAACTGCCAACTCTGCCTGGTTAAGATAGGAACCATTGCATAGGAAACATGGTGAACTATTTCATAGTGAAGGAAATTAAAAAATCAGGCTTAAAAATGTACTAGTAAATTTGGCACATTATGCTGCTAATGCCAAATATTACCTCCTTCTGTTCGTCATCTGATTTTTGACTATCACTAGACGAAGCATCCAGCAGGGTAGAGACCCCAAAGTACACCTGAAGTCAACTGAAATCTTAGCCAAGCATTTCATTTAAAAACAGAGGATAAATTTGTGTAACATAGCAAACAATAATGCAGTTTTTTGGGCTAATGATAGCAATGAGATTTGAACCTATGACCTCACATAAACTATCCTAATCCTTCACCACTATCTCATGCCTAATGACTTACACACTAATACATTTACATAAACATGGAGGTGAATTTACCAATAGGCAAACAGCAGCAATATCATCAATAGGTAAATCAGTTTGTCCAAACCTGTGCAAAGTAACCTATTAGATAATTATGGAGAAGACATTCTTATAAATAGTAATAGTTTCTCCTAAAAATATTAGTCTGATCAAATATCAGATTACGCTTTCAAAATATAAATCCAAATGAAGGCATTGAAAAAACTGTTAACATTCCTGAAAAACACAGAACTTGGTCAAACTAAAGACCCCTTTGCACCACGAAGAAATCGATTTTTAAAAAAAATTAGATATTGTATTATTATAAAACTGTGCTATGGTTGGTCAAAAGACATTGAAAAACAATATTGTGATTGTGAATCTTTTCAAACATGTATGTGATACAGTGTTTATTATACTGCCCCGTGTTCACTTTTCCTGTTGTATGAGTATAACCAATTCATACGAGAGGTAAGTAAATCAAGGAAATAAAGAAAATACCTGAATGGAAGGAGTTCATCAACATAATGAAAAGTTCGTCCAAGAGCGACAGATATGACAGTCATTGCCCTGCCAAAAACAAAATAAATTAATAAATATCAACTATTTGAAGACTATTGCATAAGACAAATAAATACATTGTACAGAATGATTAGCATTCATAAAAGTGGTACTGAATGTAAATGTTGACTTCCAGACACAACTTAAGGCTGCAGAATATTGTTCAAATGCATCACTTGTCTAAATTTCAGTAAATATGAGAAGAAAACCATTGAAATCAAGTGATATTGTCCACTAGCTTACACTGAAGTAATTGCTTGCAATGCATCAACTTATAGAGCGTTGTGAGTAATCATGAAAAACACCTTCAAAACAAAGAACTAGATGCAAGGGAATCTAAATCACATGAAACATTAAAACATACGCAAGTGCACCAAATGTCCCGATGAAAACAACACCAGCTGAATTCCTAGCTGCTAACAGTGCCTGGATATAACATCAAACAACCAGATCAGACTTATTTCCAGAGCTTTGCCCCTTCATTTCATTTCATCAGTAACCACACTCTTTGAATAAATCCTAACAGAAAGGAGGTTATTGTTTTATAATATCACAAATTGCTTTCTTCATTGTTTTGTACTAGTGATTTATGAGCACTCACTGCAATGAAAAATGTCTTGTCTCCCAGTTCAGAGAAAAATATCAGCAGAAAAGCCTGTAATAACACACAAAACAAGAAGAACCATATTAGTCTTTGAATAGCAAGGTAACTTATGTCAAATTACTCTTACATATAATAGTAAAAGTACAAAATAGCCCATGTCAAGACTTTTTTAATGTTCAGACTCTTTAGATAAACAACTTAATAAAGTGTGTATACTTAAGTCCTATTTGGATAAAACCTTATTTACAGCTTATAGCACAAGTGCTTCTGTATAAACCTACTTAAGCTATTTTTGTAAGAAGATAAAATTAAGTTAAATTGCTTTGGTATATGCTCTAAGCTGTTTTCATGAGTTTTCTTGAAGAGCTTATAAAAATAAGCTGAAAAATATACGAAAAAGGGCATAAGTTGTTTTCACAAATTCTCCCGATTAGTGTCACAAAACTTATGTTATTATATAAACTCAAATAAGGCTCATAACATAAACGTTTATCATATAAGTGCTTAAATATAAAATCTTTCTATGATAAAAATAATAGAAATTTAACTATTTTTACATAAATTAAGCTGTTTTCATTGCCTATTCTGAAGACCTTGTGAAAATAAGCCAAAAACAACTTACAGGCACGTCATATGCTCTTTTAATAAGCTTTTGGAAACAGTCTCACAAGTCACAAGTGTTTATGTTAGTACATAAACTAAAATAAGTCAATTCAAACTGCTCCTAAAATTGTGAGGTAACTACTATCTATTTAGCGCTGACACTTTAGAAAAAATGCGTCCGTGTCCTTGTTGAATACCGACTCCGACACTTTTTTCTTTTTATAAGCTCCGACTCCGATACTTAATAATTACATTTAATTTATTAATTTTTTTCAAATTATTACTGATGTCGCTGTTGTCCATGCTTCAGACTACTACCGGATAACTAGTAGAGTCCACATTATAATTTGTAGTATTGATGCTATTCATAGTTTTGTTCACTTAAAATAAAAAGTAAGTAATGATGATTACAAAAGTAACAGGGAGATTTTCCTAACTGAAGCAAAACCTGTGCTCAAGTCACCGACATCTCCAAATACAGGAATTGAATTCAAACCAGTAGCAGAAGCAGGATAAGAATCTCGAAGTGTGAGGAACGCAAAGAACAGCATAAACTTCACAATTTGAATAGATCCATTATCACCATCGGAAGAAACAATCGATGTTGCCAAGTGACATCCACAATCGGAATTTCCAGCAGTAGAATCATTAGAAGAAGAAGTCGCGAATCCCTATGCATGCGAATATGAGAGTGAATTTGAGTAACAGAATGAAATGAAGACGGAGATAGATGGTGGAATTAAATTACCTCGGTGTCCCTTTGAATGCGTGGTGGTGGTAGATTGAGATTGCGGCGAAGAGGAGGAGAAGAGAGAATTGAAGTGGCGAAAGATGAAGATTGGAGAGTGAAGATGGTGTTGGAACGAAAGATGAAAGAAGAGGAGGATGCGATTGGGAGTGGTTTCGGAAACGAATGGAGTGAATAATGTGATTGCATTTCTAATTCTTGTTCTGAGTTTCTTTCTACTCTGCTATGCTAATTCTTAGCAGTTCTCGGCTATGATTCTCTCTCTGGATAAGTCCCGCGCCACAATTAACCAACCACCTCACCCCTTGTTATCTCAAATAGTTATGAATTCTCATGGTTTGTTATGTAAAAGAAATACAGAAATAATATGGCAATAAACTGCGCCTCTATTTTTTTTTAATGGCAAAGTATATTTTAATTATATTTTTATATTTTTATATTTTTAATATATAACTATAAATTATCAATTTTTGTGATATTTGCAATAATTTATTTAGTGATCAATTTGATGTTTAGAGTGAAAAAAGACTAAACATAATTTTTTCTTGTTTTGGATTAGGTCTGCATTGGTCTAACTTCACGTGAGGTCTAATCTAATTATGTCGGTTTAGACGCATTCGATCGCGTCGGGCAGTAACTTTCACTCTCTACAAGGAGGCAGCCTCACCACACGGGGATAAATCCAGTTAGTCTTAGGAGGATCATCGTCGGTCAAGAGGACCTCGAGGTCACCCTCCGATCCTCTCCTCGACTAAGATTGATTCTCTCACACGATCTCGCGTCTGGCGGGGAGCATCCACGACGAGCAGAAGCACCTCACGAGCATCCTCCTCGTAGGACTGACTATCAACGTCTTCGAATATCAGAGTCTTCGTGGTCCCGGAAAGACCGCATCCATATCCTCTTGATCATGGAAAGGAAGTTATTCAGGTAGGGATCACGTGTTGGTCCCCACTACTCACGTAGAACCTGACAGTCTCCACTTTGCGTCTGTTTGACCAGCCCAATGAGGAGACTTTGGCCAGCGTTGGGGCTATAAATACCTTCTCTCTTGAGAGGGTCAGATATTGAACATTTCTCACCCTCTTACTTGCTTGCACTATTCCGTATCTCATTTTGGCATCGGAGTGTCTTGCAAGTACTCCCACCTCACTCTTAAATTCTACTCGACGTAAGTTGTGACGGTCCACTCTGATCAAGTACGATCATTTTTCCTTCAAAATAATTATATTTTTCAATAAAGTTTTTTAAATAATCATGTTTTTTTTATTAATTTTTAATTATTTATGTTTTAAATAAAAATTTGCAACAAAAATATAAGTCAATTGCATTGACGTATAAATTAGAAAGCAATTTAAATAATGGTTATAATAGGTTAAATCAATTCAATTGAAGTCTATGTAATTAGTGTTAGAATGAGACACCAATTCATCCTACTTCAATGTGTTATATTTATTTTTTGTGTAAAATATTATATTTTAGATTTAATTGTAATTTTAGTGTTTATATTTTTTCTTTTTTTTTTTGTAGTTTTGCTCCTTCTATTACATTTATATTTTTGGTCATTCAAAATCATTTTTTAAAGATTTTAGAAGGCAAGCTAAATTGACACCTTCAATAGACCAAACCAATTCAATTGAAGCCTATGTATTGGTATTCATAGAAGACGTTAATCCATCTGAGTTTATCTATTAGTGTTAGGAGGAGATGTAAATTCATTTGATTTCAATGCGTTGTAATTTTTTTGTAAAATATTATATTTTAGGTTTAATTGCAATTTTGATTTTCATATTTTTATTTTTTAAGTTTTAATTCTTCTATTTTAAAATTCAGGTTTTTGTCCCTCAATTCAAATTTAAAGTAAAAATTTGATAACATGATTGTTGACTTGATGATATGTCAATGTTGTATTTTCGATAAATAATTCCAAATCATTATTATTAATATTTAATTATAATAATTTCTTTATAAAAGATGACTATTTAACATTTAAAAACCAAAATATTGGAGATTCAACAATTTGGTTGTTTGGTTATACAGCGAGTCCCTTACCACTAACCACCGAGTCTAATTTGATAAATTTTTGACAGCATTAATATATAATATAATCCACGTTATTGTTTCAACCAATATTTTAAAAATCGGTTTGGAGATTGAATCTATAAATTTTTTGGTTTAAGTTTTATTTAATTCAATTATTTAAATTTATGATCGAATTGTTTATTAAATAAATTAATAATGTGAAACCAAATTTTATAAATATAACACATATAATAATATGTTTATAATTTAATTAAAAAATCGAACATTCATTACAAATTAGTAAAAGATCAGTGCATTCGCATGAGTCATGTAAAGTCGGTATATATATATATATATATATATATATATATATATATATATATATATATATATATATATATATATACCCTGATAAAATTAAATTAATATTTATATGACAATCATCATTTAAGATATTTTTTTCTCTTAATATATATATATATATATATATATATATATATATATATATATATATATATATATATATATATATATATATATATATATATATATATATATATATATATATATATATATATATATATTAAGAGAAAAAAATATCTTAAATGATGATTGTCATATAAATATTAATTTAATTTTATCAGGGTATAGTAGTTGTCAGGATATACATAGAAATTATGTTGAAAAATATATGATGTAGTACACTTCATACAAACACGTATATGTATCAACAATTGACTTTTTCCCGTTAATAAAAGGTGGAATCCTTGCGAGTGGTGGAATCCTTGCAAGTCCGACCCACCCCACACTCATGGTTTTGCAGGACGGAGCAAGGTTTTAGAACATGTGTGTCCAATTATAAAAAATATTTGTAATTTATTATCGTTTATTAAAATAATTGTATCAATATTTGATTTTTTCTATTTTATAAAAATATGTGTAACTTATTCTCGTTTATAAAAATAATTGTATCAACATTAAACTTTTCCCCGTTTATAAAAATATTTGTAAGTTATTGTCACTTATAAAAATAATTGTATCAACCGTTTACTTTTTCTCATTTATAAAAATATTTATAACTTATTTGTGTTTATATAAATAGTATAATGATGGTGATCTGGACTGGGCCTGCACTTGCCCCTCGAATAGGAGGCTCAATCCAACACTTTTGCATAAGGCCCAAACAGACAACCCAAGTTATGGACCGTTGGGCAACTCCTCACATATCCGTTGAGGAACGTGGCCCACGTCCTCGTCTCAGTCATCTTAACTGCCCTCCGGAAATAACGGGTCCAATCCATATTCTCACGGAGCAGTTGATCAAGGGGAAGTCCACTTGCTGGACTCCATACACACGTAAGCCCTGACAGTTTCCGTTATTAGGCCTCAGCGTGACCCAATAATGGGGATCTTGGCCCAGCATTGGAGGCTATAAATACCTTCTCTTTTGAGAGGGTCAGGGATTCAATACTTTCTAAACTCTCATACTTGCTTGCTCATTCCCAAACTCATTTTGACATCGGAGTGTCTTGCAGGTACCCCCCCCCCCCTTCACTCTCAACTTCTGCTCGAGCTACCTGTGACGGTCCATTCTAGTCAGGTACGATCAGTGGCGCTGTCTGTGGGAAACTTGCTTCCCCGTCTTCCGTTCACTCAAGACTAAAGCTAAATCACTCTTCCGACCGTCATGACTGATTCAACAGCAAAAAACATCAACATTCGCGTCGTCGATATCAATAATAATGTCACCGACAATCCCGGCAAGGACAACGCTGGTACTGCTGGCCATAACACGACCCCCGTCGTTAATATGCCCGTGCCTTCTGACTATAGAGACTGAGTAACTGCCTCATCATCGTCAATACCTCCACGACTTGAAGACGATCGTCCACCTCCCCAGAACTACCAACCAATCCAGTTCCAAGAGGTCCCCGTTCTCGTCGAAGTAGACGCCACGACCAGGGCACTGTTCGCGGTCATAAAACAAACAAATTTTCTGATCTTCTCTCAAGGAGAGAGGTTGAGGGTGCTCGAAGATGCTCGGAGAGTCGCCATAAGACATAGGAGGCCCCTCCTCCTCCTCGCCAAGTAGAAGAACATCCCCAATCTCCCTCACGGAGACGCAAGCGGGACGCCTCTCGAAGTCCCTCTCCCTGACCATCCGGGCGACGCCCACCACTGGAGAGGGACCAGCCCGTAGACGCGGGGAGACGCGATCACATCCCCTCGCGTCAAGAACGAAGACCCCCTAGAGACAGAAATATGGGGAACAACGAACGACCATACCTCCCGAGGAACGCCCTGCGCAACCAAGGCCACCATAACTGCCACCACATCAGATCTCCTTCTCGCTCGCTTGACATGTGTGACGAGGACGACCCCCGCGGTCCCTTGTCATAAGCCATTATGGAGGCACCTATTCCCCCGAGCATGGAGAAGCCTCCCCACTTGAAGGAATACGACGGGATCACCGACCCGTTCGACCATATAGACGGGTTCGAGGCCATGCTACACTACCATAACATCGGGGGACCAATCAAATGTCGGTTGTTCCCCACGAAATTGAGGAAAGTTGCGATGGACTGGTACAAGAGTCTCACCTCGGGGTCAATCACCTCCTGGAAAAATCTAAAGAACCAATTCATCAGTTTGTTCATTACTTCACGTCAACACCCAAAGACTAAAGCAGCCCTCGAGGCGATTGTCCAGAGACACAACGAGACCCTAAGGGAATTTATTGATCGGTTCAACCGGGAAGCCATCCAGGTCTCCTGCACCGATCACATGAAGAGATACCTGCTCGAGAGGGGACTCCTCCCGGGAACGGAATTCAGAAAGGCCATTTTCATCAAACTGCCCCGGACATTCGATGCCCTCCTCGAAAAAGCCAAAGCATACATGGACTACGAGGAGAGGGAGGCGGCCAATAGAGCCCGGGACCCCAGGAATCATGGATCAACCAATAATCCACAACAACAAGACTCCGACCCTCCTCGACGAACCGGCGAGAAGAGGAGAGATGACAAACCCCGGGACCCTCGTGAGCAAAGAGGACCCTCGGGGCGCTTTACCGAGTATACTCCGTTAACAGCTTCCCGCGAGCGCATTTTTGCGGAGTGTGCAAACACTGATTTCAAGGATGGCGACATTAAACGTCCTCTCTTCGC